AGGTGGACCACATAAACCTGGATGACCTGGAGGGCCGAAACTGGACTTTCCTGGACCTGGACCTCCAAAGCTCCGAACCCCGAAACCCCAAAAAGGCTGGGTCTTTGGGTTTTAGGGTTTAGGGCTTAGGGTTAGGATTTAGGGTTTAGGGGGGTGGGGCTCTGGGCTTTAAGGTTTTTGCGTTTAGAGTTTTTGGGATGAAGATACAGGGTTCTATAGGGGTTAGGGTGTTTGGGGCTGTTTAGGGTGTAGCTTTTCTCAATTGGGTTTGAGGATGCCGCAACAAGGAGCACACAGCCTCTGCTGTTTCTTCTACTTTAGGGAGTATAGCATAAGAATACCATAGTACGGAAAGCGTTGTTTCGTCCCATACGTCCCTGTATTGTAGCTTAGCACGACGAAGTTCTTGAACAAGACGCCAGAAGGTGGTGCCCACCGTGACGGTCGTGGTCTACTTCAACTCGGTCGGAGGAATTTGCTTTCCCAATGCTTCCAAGGAGGGGATCAGTTCCATAAGACCAGGAAGCCTAGAACCCTAAACCCTAAAGCCCAAATCACCGGAACCCGAGTTGAATCCAACACCCTGGATCCGAGATAAACCTCGCATCCGAAACTCTAAACCCATAGCCCTTAGCCCAAAAGCCTGATAAACCCACGAAAGCCCTCTAGCCTAGGAGGTGGGTACCATTGCGGCCGAGCGCGGACGGGTGGTGATGTTCGAGAACTACCTCGAGGCTGCTGGGAGTTACCATAACGGTTTGGGGTTTGGAGTTTAGGGTTGGGTTTACTATCAGGGACGCGACAATGTTGATTATTAGGGTTATTGTAAGGGTTACTATAAGAATCATTGTTGAGATTGCTGTAAGGGTTAAAGTCAGTACTGCATCGGCTACTATAAGAGTTGCTGTAAGGTTACTACATTAGGGGTACTAGAAAGATGCGGGGCGTGTAGGGCACCGTGTTACTTCGCATTCTTACAAGCGAGAAAACCCATGTTTTTCGCACGAGTTTCAGAACAATATGGGGTTGTAGCGCCTGCCGGAAACTATTGTAATTGAGTTGGACAAGATTTCACGGAGCTGTTATTCACCGTTGTTTTAGTGATCATCATCATCATCATCATCATCATCAATCTTCATCAATGCCGTCACCATATCGTTGGGCACCACAATGTGCTAAGAGGCAAGATTCCTGTAAACACCAGTGTTTCGGGCATGCTCGCCCAAGGCAGGAACACATGCGACAGTTATGCGACAAACGCCAAATATCCTTCTTCAGTATGTTGTAAAGAGTGGCGGCGGAACGCTGCCGCAAGTACCAGGCATGCTAGCACAAGGCATGAACCCTTCTGAGTGCGGCGACGTCAAACTCCATTCTGCAGTAGGTTGTATAAAGTGGCAAAAGCGCCGTAAATACCAGTGTGCTGGGCATTTTCGCCTTTGGAGCCGACGTTATCATCCCCCACCCCTCATCCCCCAACCCCCCACCGCGCCCCAACCCCATGGACTCGTCCGAAACGTCCTGAAAAAGGCAAGAAGCCCAGGAAAGTAACGCGGCGCCCTATGCGTCCGCCGCCTTCTGTGGGGGTTGAGTTTGGGAGTTTAGAGTCTCGCCAGTTTATCCTGGGCTTCATGGTTATAGTCTAGGGTTTAGGGTTTAGGGTTTAGGGTTTAGGGTTTAGGGTTTAGGGTACAGACATCGCTGGAACTGCAACCTTGTAGCTGGGTCTATGTCGAACGGATTCTAGCTTCAATTGCTGCTGCAAACAAGTCTTTCGAAGCCAGCTTCCACTTCTTCTTACAATTCTGTGCCCTAAACCCTAAACCCTAAACCCTAAACCCTAAACCCTAAACCGTCAGGACTGCCAGAGGCCGTCTCACAATCCCGCGGCCGCGCACTACGGCCTCTATTTCCAGGACATTCGAGGGGGCAGTGTTGGCAAGGGTGCAGGGTTTAGGGTTTAGGGTTTAGGGTTTAGGGTTTAGGGTTTAGGGTTTAGGGTTTGGCAAGGGTGCAACCCAGAGAGCCCAATACCCCCTAAATGAGGAATGAATATACCTTAAATTATAGGGGCCCTAATATTATGATTTAAGGTCTATTCCTTAATTAAGGGGTATTGGGCTCTCCGGGAAGTTCATAGTGTCTTAATGTGGGTACGCAGTTTGTAACGTACATGCTCAGGAGTCGGCCTCAGAAATTCAATTGTCGGCGATACTGTCGCAGGTAGTATGGTGTGGCTCCTACCGTCCACCCGAGGACAAGCCGAAGCGGATTCTTGTCATGGGCATCCTCGCGAATCAGACGCCTCAGTTCTCTCCTGGGTCAGAACCCAAGGCCCTGACGAGGAGTTTGCTCTACTGCGCTGGCACAGAAGCTGACCCTCTCCGCCACGAGCAGGAGGATTCTCGCGATTCGGTAATGGAGCAGTTAAAGTGGAAGCCACCGCCAGTGCAGAAGGAGCCCGTGGAGGATCTGAAGACCTTGACCCTTAGGTGTATGAAATTTAAAGGGATCTGAGGAATAGTATTCCTATTTACTAGCGCCCCCCATGGTACCTCAGCCCGTGAAGCCCTGCACGCTGGCGGAGGAACCCTAAACCCCACACCCTACACCCTAAACCCTAAACCCTAAACCGTGGCAGAGGAGGAACCACCAGTTCAACCAGTTGGGCAGAGGAAGCCCGATAGCTTGGTGGAGGAAGCTGAAGCGGCGAACTGCTGCTGCTGGCCCTGGGGAACAGCCCGTGAAAGCCCTTAGGGATTCAAACAGGGTTTAACCAAGTAATGTAGGGGCCTAAATAACTACCAATACTACGGTTGATGGACAAAATCCTGCATAACCTTATATACCTAAACTATGGGATTTATGGTACTATACTATATTTGGGTCATGCAGAATTTTGTCCATCAACAGTTTTTTGGGGGTTCCTTATTATAACTATAGTATAGTGGCCCCAGAACCCTATTCTAGGTAGTAAGGCCCCTATATTAAAGCATGATACGCCCACTGCTCTTACATCTTGTCTGCGACGCGCTGTACAGTCAAGCAACGTCAGAGCCACTCCGGAATTCTTTTCTTTGCGCTGACCCGTGGAGACAGAGAAGAGGGCTTCAGGGGATAAGGATAGAGGGCGGGTTGTGTGATCCAGGGCTTCAGCCCCAAACCCCTGGCGGTGCCCCCCAAGCACAGTCATCGAAAGCAAGCCCTCAACCCGAAGAAGTTAACAAACAGACTCAATCCCTTTACAGTGAACTCTTAAGCCTAAAACTCACTGAAGTCCTGCAGCCTGCAAGACCACCCCAGTTCACCAGCACACAAAGACTAGGTAATGCTGCTGCTGATGATGATGACGAAGGTGTTGCTCATGACGATGATGGTGATGGTGATGGTGATGGTGATGGTGATGGGATGATGATGATGTTGATGATGGTTATGATGATGATGATGGTGATGATGATGATGATGATGATGATGATGTTGAGGATGGTGATGATGATGATGATGATGATGATGATGATGATGATGGCGATGATGATCATGATGATGGTGACGGTGATGACGATGACCATGGCGATGGTGATGGGGATGACGGTGATGGTGAAGGTGATGGTGATGATGGTAACTATTACCAACTTCGTTAATCAACACCGCCATGTTTGGGGTGACAAGGCATAGCTGGCATAGCTACCACTTACTACCTCCCCGATCCTTCCCCCACTGGGCAGTTCCGTCACGGACATCATCCTCTTCAGATTACAGTATTTACGTTCCCAAAACAAGATGAAGTTGCTGTCACACAGTAGTGGTCTGCCTGTTGTAGAATCAGCGCCGTTATTGGTTCATCTCCATCAGCCTCCCGGCTTATCAGCCCGACGTAGCGCGCTTTTCTTCATCTGCCAGAGATCGGGGTAAGGTCACCCATGGCGATGAAGGCACTTCAAGTTCTTCCCCATGTGTGGGTGGTGGATGAGGCTGTTCCCGAGTCGCTGCTGGATCATGTGGACAAGGCCTTTGCCACGGATAGCCGAAGCACTACCACAAAGGACTTGGCAGTTGAGTTCGTAAAGTTAAGACTTTTCGGTTCTATGTATGCTGCTTCAAGACTCTGCAGATGTTTTTGACCTGTGCTTTGGACGACAAAGAGGAGGAGTATCATGGTAGGCCCCTCACATCGCGCAGCATCGAGTTCGAGATGGATGAAACGTCTAGGCCTTTCTTCGGGATGATCGCGCGCTGCTGGGGTTTACGCTTGGAGGAGCCCTTCAAGAAGTTCATGGTCTCCGATATTTGGGGAGCTGGACAGTCTGCGCATGTGGACCACATAAAGCCAAAACCCGGAACCCTCAACTCTAAACCCCAAAGCCTGAAAACCCTCCGCCCCGAGCCATCAACTCCAAAACCCCTAGAGAACAGTGTGAACATGTGGACCACATGAACCCCATATAGGACCCTGATAGTAATCATGTAGCACCGTTCAAATCATTCCTGAAGAACCCATATGGTATAATCCTTGTAGAACCCCTGAACCCGATGTAAACCTCAAAGCGCAGCCAGGTGTACCACAGAAGCCCAAAACCCTAAACGAACAAGGCTAAACGGCCAAGCCTCGTCGGTTGATAGTTAAACCCGAATAAACCTCCAGGTGGACCACATGTACCCAAAGCCCTAGACAAGCAAGTCTAAACCCTTATAACAGCAACACCCTGTTACAACCCCCCAGGTGGACCACATAAACCCTAAACCCTACACCCTAATTCCCCTAGGTGGACCACATAAACCCTAAACCCCCCAGATAGACCACGTACGCCCTAAACCCTACACCCTAAACCCCCCCAGATCAACCAGATAAACCCCAAATCCTAAACCCTAAACCCCCCAGATCAACCACATAAACCCTAAATCCTAAACCTAAACCCCCCAGATCAACCACATAAACCCTAAACTCTACACCCTAAACCCTAAACCCAAACCCTAAACCCTAAACCACCCTACAGGTGGACCACATAAACCTGGATGACCTGGAGGGCCGAAACTGGACTTTCCTGGACCTGGACCTCCAAAGCTCCGACCCCCGAAACCCGAAAAAGGCGAGTGTAGGGTGTAGGGGTCTAAAGTTTAGGGTGTAGGGTTTAGGGTTTAGGGTTTAGGGTTTAGGGTTTAGGGTTTTGGGGTTTCTTCTTATAATTCTTAAAAAAATATTCTGTAGGGATCTACAACTGAAGGTGTTTAGGGTTTAGGGTATTTTTTTTTGGGGGGGGG